TCTGTTTTCTCATGACATTTAGCAGGTAGCAAAATAATCTTTCTATGCTAAATGCTTAACTTCCTGTTTTTCCTTTTCTTTTACAAATTACCAGTGGTTCTGTGTATTGTCTTAGACTTTTTAAATTATTTTTATTCAGTGAAAATAGCATACTCTTTACTTACTGGACAGCCTTGCTTTTGTAAAGAAAAATAATAATGAGGTCAGCAACAACAATATTGTATATAGATAGTCCTCACTTACTGACCGCAATGGGCAAAAACTAAAACGTTAGTTTTCTGATAATTTATTGATAACTTTTGCTCTGTACAGAATAGAGCTAGTGCTCTAAGTACGAACTGGCAAGCAGTGCAGCTCCTGTAGTATTGGCGGGGCAGTGCTGTACCAGCTTTAAGTCACCAGCGTGTGGGCTTCTGCTTTATCCACGAGCTGGCGTTTCTGAGCAGCCTTCAAAGGTAGCCTCATTAGACTCCATGCAGCAGTAGCCCAATTTTGAAATAAGACGACCACAAATTAATACTACAGTGAACATACCACCATTTGGAAGGCTCTCCTGGTTGCCCCAGAAGATTTTAATAGGAACAGAAAGAAGCATTTCCTATAGAACCGCATGGAAAAGTTTGTACTAGTAACATCACCAGTTGCCACTTAAAGTAATACTCAGTTTGTTTTAGTACTTCAGGATAGAGTCCTTTCTCTGTATGTAGTATATATTTTCATTCTCTTTCTCAGAATAATAGAGTGTGACTATTGGGAGTGTTTTGAACGAGTAAATAACCCTCAGCCCTCTTCTTTCATGTCTTTGACAATGGAAGATTAACTTAGTCATTTGCCATAGGTGTTTTTCCTTTTCACATCAGATAAAACAAGTCAGCAACTCTTAATTTTATAAAATATTGTTCCCTCATTGTTTCATGGTAGGTACTTTGATGTGTTTTACTTTTCGTGTATTGAATTGATAAAAAGCTAATGTGAAAACATTTCCATAAGCTCTTTGGAACATTGCGTTTTCCAACTTACGTAAGTACAGAGGAAAAGGTGTGCACACCCTGGAAGAATTTGGCACCAGGTTAGGATTACCTACTTCCTTTAGCTTTAAAAAAGTACAATTCCTAATTGGGATAACCTTGATATGACTGTGATCTTACTTTTTACAAAGCTGCAGTTGGCAAAAAGGCCTTTTAAAACATATTTTAGTCTATCAAGAATGCTCAAAAAAATTTTCTGATGAGAATACTTATTAAGCTTGGTGTCCTGTGAGAAATATGACCAGCAATATGCATGAATTGGAACAACATTTAATTGAATAATGGATTTTTCCATAAAAAGTGATGTTTTTAGTGTTGTTTCACTGAAGTGTTCTTTCTTTCAGAGGTTCAGTTTCAACATTTATACGTTTGATACTTTGAAGATAGCAAATCCAAATTGAAGATAACTTACACTAAATAGCATAGGTGGGCAGTGTAGAGTAGTGGAAGTGCAAGCACTGTTACTCAGTGTCAAATGCCTCCCCAAGGCCAGAGAGAATGTGACAGGGAAAAATTATTGAAGAGAAGTATTAATACCATTTAATTTTAATTACATTTAAGTGTAAATAATAATAAGCAATCAATTTTAGACTTTGTTTTGGCTCCACCACTACTTTTTGGAGTGTGGCATCCAGCATAATACTCAGATGCCAAACATGGCCCTTAGTTTAGAAGTTGTGAACCTTTGCATTACAACTTTTAAAACAGAGAAGTATAACATCAGACTTCCCAGTGTTCTTTCTAGCGTTTTAGCAACAAATGCCTGTTCGAGAAGGTGAGGCAAAGATAGCTTTCCCAAGGTTGAATCTGATACAAAAAGAATGTTTTAAACCTCAGTGAGTATGCCACTAGAAGAATTTGAACTCAATAAGTTGATCTTATCAGAGTGCTAGTCAGAAATGCACAAAAGTAGATGTATATAATATATTATTCTAATGTAGTTAAGAATGCATTTTACTTGGTGCTCTCTGAGTTTGGTTGTTTGCTTGCAGACATTTCATTGTCCAACCAGGTGACATCATCATAGTAAATTTGGCTCCCAGTCTCTCAATCTCGATAAATATTAGTTATCTCTAAGTATATTTGTCAGAAGTGGAACATAAGTGCTTTCAGTTCTGCTGAGCATAAGTAGCTAAGATTTACATGACTTACATGATTTTTGGAATTCAGGAATGTATCTGCAGGTTATTTGCAGTCACAGAAAGAAGTTGTTTGATACATGTCTGAATGTGGAGAAGGCAAACATACTGCTAGTTTTTGTCTGCCTATTTATTATTAAAAATTGTCAGGAAATTGAAATATAATTTGTTTTAGAAGTACGTTTAAGGCAGAAACTCAGCACTTAAAAATTCTTGGGTGTTCTGGCAGATAAAAGCCTGCCTGGATAATTACTTGATCAGGTTTGGTTAAAAAAAAAGGGCAAGTTCCATAATTAGATAGCTGAGACTCTAGATATATAATGCCTGGGTTAGATATTTCTTTTGGGATCTTTTTTAGAAGCATGGATATTAACTAAGTAAATATTTACAAAAAGATGAAAAGCATCTTGTTCAATGAGATTGAAACTCTGTGTACCTCAACTTCCTTTTCAGGTTATGTCTGTAATCATTTCAAAGCTTTTTAAAGCTGACATTACATTTTATCTACAAGAAAAAAATGTATGACCTTTTGCTTGAAAATGATACCTTTTTTGTGAAGAAAGTAAAAGTAAATTGTGCATTTCATCATTAAACACAGTTAATTGCTAGCCTGAAACTATTCCACACTGAATATGTGAGGACAGCACCATTCTTTGGCCTTGCTACTAAGGCTCAATAAAACTCATTCACAGGGACAGCACAGTCCATGTTGATGTACTTTTCCATCAATTCAAGGATGGGAAGAATGCATGTTATTACAGTCATGTGGAAATAACCACCATACATTCTCTAGTCATCTTAAATTGAAAAGAGCTTTATAAACATAAATGTATTTGGCAGATATTCATATGTAATGCTATACACATAACTACACACATTCACCCACCCCCCTATCCATCACACTATTTCCTTTAAAATAGGCAACAATATAAAGCAATATACTGGTATAGGCTTTTTGTATTTATTCTTTCTATTTGACCAAATAATATCAACTTAATGTTAAGTCCACGAATAGATTTCTGGTGCTTCCACTCTTATTTACTCAGTCTACTCCTAACTTCTAGAATGACCTAATGTACAACCTGTTCATTTATTATGGTGTTTTTTCAATTGATAAAATTAGTCACTAGGAATATTCACAGTTTATGATATTTGATTATCCATGTCTCTTACTAGGACCACTAGGAAGATTTAACAGGAACAACCTACTCCTCACTCCTGGGTCTGAGGCTTGGAGCACTGGGTGTGTGTCTCTCCTAGTTTATTGTAATAAATTGTTTTTAGACCAAGATTAAGAATAATATGCCCCATAATTACAACAGAATCAGTCATCTGCAAACACGAGAATCCATTTTTTTAACTGAAAAATTCCCCCTTTCATAGCAATATGGGGAATGAAAAGCAGAGAACTCAAAATAATTTAATCACCCTTTACTAAAACAGTGGGCAAGCAATTTTATATTGATACATTAATATCAGAAAGCAAATACAGAGAATATAAACGGCATCTTTAAAATATAAGAATCCTAATAGTTCAGGAATATGACAAAGTTACAGGCTATCCTGGGCTGACTTACTGACCTGGGACCCAGCAAAGCAGAAGAGCAGAGAGAGTACAAGTTAGAGGAAACAAGTGTGGAGAGGGTAACATGTGTCTTGAGCTGCTATAATGGTCAGATTCCTTCTAGTCTCTTAACCAACAGCATTCCTCTCAGCATTCAAGCTGCTGGTCCCATCTTCATCTGGTTGGCTTCCTACTTTGCCCTCTCATGGGACTTTCTTCTCCCAAATTGGTTCCCTTGCAGTCCTAGTAGATGGTCTCATGTGATGGTTGGTTAATAAATATTCTATAACATCTACCCACCTCAGCAGCAGTTTCCAAGAACACCAGTGCGGTAGCTTGCCAGTTGCTTTCTATGCTCATCATTTGCAAATTCTGTAGACTTTCTGTTATTTGTTTTTACTAATCAGCTTTTGCAGCTTTTAAGCTCAGTAAGTTTTGCTCTGATTAATTAATGTTTTAATGCTAGCCTTTGAACAATTAGAAAAATGCAACATTTTTCTAATAATAGGGAACATTCTCTAAGCGATAGGAGAGTGAAGTCTTGCCTGGGAGCTTGAATGGTTAGAGATTTCAGTCCAGAGTCAAATGGAGTATGGGCTTAGAAAAGCAAACATAACCCACAACAGTCCAAGAGTCAAGCACCGAAGAGGTTAGTCAACTGGTCCAAGTTTAAACATCGAGAGTCAAGGAACAGAACAGGAAGCCAAGATATAGGAATGGAGGTTGGCAAATGGTTTTCAATGAAGGACAGGCCACTGCCAGCTGCTTTTCAATAGACCAGATACAGGTATGGCTTAGTTATGAGTATTGGAGCCTTTGCTTCTGGAGACATGAGCAGAATGCCTCTGCTTGGCTTTCTGAAGCTGTCAACACATCCTGGGACTAGATGCTCTGCCAGGTTCAGACCCCTAATTACCTGATTCCTCCTGTATCTGCTGAGTCAGTCCCAAGTGACAATTGTCTCATGAGGCTGGCAGCCTGCTGAATTAGGCTCAGCCTCTTACTCTGAGAAGCCCAAGTCCGCAACACTTTGTACAAATTACTTAGTGCCTTTCATAGGTAGCTTCCATAAATATGTTTCACCTCTTCCTCAGCAATGCTAAGAAGACTGTTGATAGACCTTATCTTTTGTGGCAGAAATCGTAATTGTGACAGATGGCTTTGGAGCCACCTGTTTTAAAATGGTGCTTCCTCCTTTGCATGGAGTGATGAACTTGAAATTTGCTTCTTGTCTGGGCTTATGATAATAATATCCTTGTGTCTCAACAGGTGGAAATTGATGGGAGAAAACTTTGTGTGACTGGTGAATGGAACTTGGCTTCAGCCCTGTTATCTCTTAAAGTGGATGGTGTTCAGAGAACTGTACAGGTAAATATTTTGCTGCTATAGCTTTTTAAAATGTCTATACTATTTTAAATCTGGGAAGTTACTGTTCCAGATTATAATTGCAAATACTTAATTTGTATTAGACAGTGACAGAAAGTTTATATTGATGTAGCTTGGTTTCTAGATTTTATACAGACACAAACGTTTCCATTTATGTATCCAGACTTTCATGGGGAAATAAAAGATAGTAATTTTTGTGGTCTCTCAGCAATGTCTACTAAAATATCCTTTAATAGTTAATTAATTTAAACTTGAGGGATGATTATGCAGTACCTATTTGCTTCATGTACTGATTCAGTCAGTTCAATCTGTGAATGGATTAAAAGCATTCACTGAAGAATGCTCAGGAAAAAAAATGTAAATGGATCTCCAGTGTTAAATGCAAAGGACTGTTAAATGCACAAGTCTGTATTCCAGTGATAAATGCTCATGTTGATGATTGCTGTGAACAACCAGGAAAAGGCACTCTTGGTTGGCGTATGATAGGAAAAGTGCTAAAAGTGCCAGCTACTGTAAGAGAAGAGTTGGTGTGTATGCAGAAGACTATGGGCTCGTCTCATTACAGAAGATTGTTATTAGTTCTCAATGTGTTAAAAGTTTATGATCTTCTTATGTGGCATAAATTGGAATTTAAATGAGAAACAAAATTTAGAGATAAATGAACTATGTGAATTCTGAATTAGCTGTCTCAGACTTTGATTTGGCTTATGCAGATTGAGAATTATGTTCATTTCCATTACATTCTTTATGTATTGCTTTATTATAAGAAACATTCTTAGTCTCTAAATCTGAACAAAAGTATTCATCCAAACATTTTTATTCATTCAAATATGAATCCTGGCCTTGCCCATTTTGGAAGTGTGGCTTCTGGAAAGTGTATACATATAAATGAGGTTTATTTATTTATTATTTCAATTTATACAGCTGCTCACTTGCCATGAAACTCTGGGTAGCTAAGTTTAAAAACATTAAAAAACACAACATAAATAATTAAAACACATTGCACTGGAGGAAACTCACATTCAGAGCTCACATAACATCCTGGCTCTGAGTGAAGAACCAGGTCTTCAGAGCCTTTGTAAAGACTGGCAGGGTCAGGGCCATCCAAGCCTGAAGGGGAATGTTGTTCCCTAGGCAGGCACAGTCAGTCGCATTAGATGATACTACTTAATTAGTGGGTCCTGGGGCATAACAATCCTAACAGATCTTGTTGAACTAACAGAGATAATTGGAGATAGATGATCCTGCAAATATCCTGCCCATGCCATGAAGGGCTTTATAAATACAAGTAGTCCTTGACTTACAACCACAATAGGGACTGGAAAATTTGTTGTTAAACAGTGTGGTTGTTAAGCAAGGCATCATGTGACCTCACTTGATTTTACGACATTTTTTGTGGCAGTCATTAAGTGAATCATGTGGTTCCCCATTGATTTTCTTGTCAGAAGTCGGCTGGGAAGGTTGCAAATGGCAATCACATGACTGCAGGGACACCACAATGGTCATAAGTGCGAGGACCAGTCATAAATCACTTTTTTCAGTACCACTGTAACTTTTAACAGTCGCTAAATGAATGATGGTAAGTCGAGAACTACCTGTAACCACTAGCACCTTGAACTGCACTTAGAACCCCATGGGCAACCAGTATAGTTCATGTAGTAGTGGTCTTACATGGGCATATCAAAGACCTCTCACTTCCACATTCTGGACCAGTTGTAGCTATTGAGTCATCTTAAAGTGCAGCTCCATGTAGAACACATTGTAATAGTTCATGTATGATGGCTAATGCATGGGTAACCATGAACAGGGCCTTAGTCTTGCTAGGGCTTAAGCCTCAGCCTGTTCCTCCCCATCTAGACTCCCATAGTCTCTAGACATTGAGATTGAACTTTGGTGATACTGCTTGGTTGGTCTAGAGTTGAGATATGTAACTGGTATCCTCAAAATACTGATAATACCTAACCACAGGCTGATGGATGACTTCATGCAATGGCTTCATGTAGATATTAAATAGGAATGAGGAGAGAGTCAAATCCTGAGGCACCCCACAAAGCAGGGGCCTAGAGCTAGATCTTTTCTCCCACCAATACCAGCTGGAAATGGCTCTGAAGGAAGGGAGAGAACTACCACAACACTGTGAACCCCACTCCTAATTCCCTGAGTTGGTCCAGCAGGATATCACAATCAATGGTATTGAAGGTTACCTAGAAAACAAGAAGAGCAAGGATGGATGTACTCTCCCATCCTGGATGTACCATAGATCATCAACAAGCTTGATCAGTGTCGTCTCAGTACTATGCCCAGTATTGAAACCTGACTGGAAGGGATCCAGATTTGCAGGCAGAGTGAAAGACAATAATTTATTTTAAATTCCAGAATTGGGAGAAGTGTACCATAGGCATATACCCCCCACTCTCCAGCACACTGATACGGCTTTTTATATATTTCTTGTACAAACGTAAACTTTAGGAAATCGAAGAAACGACAACAGAGGAAACATTCTGATGAGATTTTGCCAGTCAAGACATTGGGCTCTTAACAGCAATCAGGGACAGGGCTAGACACAATGATTCACAGGACTTGAGATATAAGTACTTAACAAAAGGAAAAATTTTAAACAGTGTATATGTGTGATCAGACATTGTAGGAGGAAAGCTGTGTTAGTCTAGGGTGGCAGAGAATCAGGAGGAGTCTAGTAGCACCTTTTCTAACAAATTTTATTAAAAGGCATATGTTTCGCGGCCTACTTCATCAGATGGCCATGAGTAAAACAAGGAAAAATGAGAAGAGCCCTTTTTTCCAAAAGCTTCACAAGCATAAAAGTAACAAAATTAACAGAGAAAAGATATAGGAATATAAACTGTTTGTAAGATACCTAATTGTTAGAATGTGAGCAATACTGTGTTAGTTTACAAGGAAATGTTTAGGTTAGAGATCCTAGTTTGCACAGAACTGTACAAGCATGCTTTAGGTAAACCAGGACACTGATTACTCTTCTGGCATACAGCCCCAAATGTGCTGAATATGACTAGTATTTAGTCCTTAATGTTAGTACGGAATACTGCATGTGGCCTGAGCACAACTAAGGTTGCTAACCTAGTCTACTTATTCTTTAATGTACTAAAAAGCATTATGTGAAAACCTTGGTTGATGGTGGCAGTAGAGATCAATATTCTTCAGACCACTGTTGATTACCATGATGTGTAGAAAATGATGGCTGTATGAATGTAAGAATATATGATAAAGATAATAAATTAATACATGAATGAAAGAATAATATGTTTTGTGTTTGTGAAATGAAGAGAAGGATATAATATATCTGAATGAAGGTTGTCTGATCTTGTAAAGTAGATTTGATTACTATATACAGGGAGGTGAAGGTATAGATTCAAGTATAAATGAAAGGACCAAAATATATGTCGGAAGGTATGAATTGGTATAAACTAGTTTGTTGTGGGTGCCTATGATAGAAGGAAATATTGGGCTCCGGGTGAATGGTGACAGTGACAGAACCATGGATGAGTTTTGGGGAAAATGCACATTATGAATATCATGTATCATGAATATCATCCAAGGGAAGAAGTTATTTCTTGTGTGACATGAATGGATGGGTAAGAAAAAATAGAAAGTACAGGAAAAAATTGGAGTGAATGAGAATGGTGATTGCTTAGCACAGGGCTTCTCAAATTGTTGGTTGTGACCGAGATGGTCATGAACAACTTAGAGGGAATTACACTTTTTTAAAAAAGATGATCAGGCTTATGCGCACACCCCACATGTGGACATGTTCTGAGAAAGTGGGAATGAGTTTTGATAGTGTTCCTGTTCTGCAGAGACATGTCCACAGTGAGCTTGCATAAGGAAAGCTTTGACAGCACTTTGCTCGTCCTGGGAAATATGTTAAGTGTGAGAAGGGGGTTGCCAGAATTCTAACTGAAAGCGTAGGGTAGATGATAATGAGCAAAAGTTGGAAGTACCATGTGACTTCATGCTTGGCAGGGGATGTGCATGCCTAGTTTTTGCTCTTTAGAAGATCATTGAGAAATTTATGAATGTGAGAAAGGAAATTATACATGAATGCGTCTAAACTTTTATATGTTAACAGTGCTTTGAGATGAGAACCTGAAAGATTGGCAGTGAATATTATACAGGTTATATGATGCAATGAGAACTATGGATCTAAAAAATAAATCAAGGGCAGGTTTTTTCTGCTTGAAAGAGAAAATAGATTTATATATGAAAGGCAACAAATTAAACCAGCTAGAAAATGCATGGACTAAAGATGAGAAAATCGAGAAATTTTAAGATATACATGTACGTAGGTAGCATGTACAAAGAATTAATGTTTGTTTATTAGCAAATACATTTTAAGTTTCACAGATTAACATTAATTCATATTTGGGAAAAAAGTTTCTGAATTTAAATAAATAGATCATGCACTCGTATGCTAAACTGTGCTTCAGAGCAAGTAGATCTAAACAAAAATATATGATTTTTTTTTAGAATCAGTTAAAATCACTCCTATATCAGAAATTCATGGTATGAATCATAACCAACCATTCTCTAAATAGGAAAGAGAACAAGTAATTCAAGATTTGAAATTAGGTCAGCCATCCACCCAATGCTGATTGGCATTGGGCAGATGGCGTTATTGCAACTGTTTATACAGTATATAAAGTTTTCAGAAATTATTATCCCCCCTTTAAATTCTCTGTTTAATTCAGTACTGCAGGGTAATCAAATTCCTGATTCTTGGCACTATGTCTGGATATGCCAAAGCCTAACAAAGAGAATTAACTGTATTGCACTGACCAATTGCACTCCTGAATCAAAATAAAAATATTTTTATGGCTTATTTGGCACCAAAGGGACAAACTGAATTAATTTGGGCCAAGCTGGATTTATTAGGCAAATAGCAGATCTTATAAGAATTTTCAATTGTATTTTTATGGGAAGTGGCCCTAAAATCCATAGGTTATTTT